ACCCCGTCTTCACCTCGAAATTGTCTTGACTATGAGCCACTCCAAAATCTACCAAAGCTTTAGGCTCGTATTCTTCAAAATCCACCGAAGAACAACTCTCTCTTTTGTATAGAATTAAACAAACAATCCTTTGATGTAAACTTCTAAAATCATGAGTTGAATACTCAATCAAAACATCAAAGAAAACAAGAAAAATATCTCTAGAGATAAACCTTAATATCCAAAAAGAAGATCTAGAGAAGTAATCCTAAAATCTGACAGAAACCCGTACTTATAGAAATCTGAATCGCGATGCTCGCTCGAGCGAAGACTCTCTCGCTCAAGCGAAGAACCAAAAACGCGTGTTTTTCATAAGTGGCTTCGCTCCAGCCACGCACCCTTCGCTCGAGTGAACAAACACCTCTTTCAGGTCTTTATGCAGACGCAATCCTTCGCTCGAGCGAGCAAAGGAGGACATGCAACTTCGAATGCAATTTTGCATTTTGTTTCGGGGGCGCTGCCCCCTAGACCCCCGCAAGCTGATCGGGCAGCTCGATCCCCGTCATAATCAGCGAAGTAGCAATCTTGAAAACATTAACATCACAAACTTCTCTGCAAGGCACAATTCGAGTTGAATTCGCATCTAAAAACTCATAGCCTCACTGAAATAAAAAGTGCGAAAATAAGTACAACTGAAAGGAGTTTTGTCAAACGGGATTGCCAAAAATAAAAACCTGACAAATATAAAAATAGTCTTATTGCTTTATGATTTAACAAATATTGAATAAAATATAAACTTATAATACAAAATAAAAATTAAACTAATTACAGAAAAAATATTAATTACTCTTATTATATTTTTAAATGTAAAATTGCGAACTAAGTATTTTTGGAATTTATTTAATAAAGATTAATTTTATAAAATTTAACTTGTGAAATTTTTATAATTTCTCTATACAATTAGTATTTTTATTTAAGAATAAAAGTTTTGACATGAAATATTAAACGGACAGGAATAAAAAATGACACGATGCAATAACATAAAAAAATAAATTGATTGGATTAGTATTAACCTTGTTTGGAAAGTTGGTTATTTTAGTTGACAATTTGAATTTTTGGCTATTTTAGCCTGACTAAAATAGTTACATTTGGGAAGATAGTTGTTTTTTTTTTTTATATAGTTAATTTGATAATTGTAAGAAAAAAAGTGAAATAATTATGAATTGGATGTAATATTTTATCTTATTAACTATTTTAGCCCAATCTTTTTCCCAAACAGAGCTATTGAAATAATTCTAATTTCTAAAATAAAACAACAACACCAACCTCTAATTAGGAGCACCTAAATTTTGCTCAAATTTGATGCCCAAGACGACTGTCTTGGTTGCCTCACTTTAAGATCGACCCCACTAAAGAGACAATTTGGTGCAACTCATTTGAGCTGCATATAACTTCTTGTTTTTTTTAATTCAAAATGTCTTAGTGAGACTATTTGAATCAACTTAAGTTTATAGTTTATTAGACAAAAATAGTTGAAAAAAAAATAATTATCTATAAATTAAGAAAATGACTGTTTGAATCAACTTATGTTTATAATTTATTGGGCAAAAATAATTGAAAAAAACTAATTATCTATAAATTAAGAAAATGGTATTTTCAATTTATACTTTTTTTATTATTAATTTTTAACTTAAAATAAAATGTACCAAACATGCTCCAAGTGCCCAATAGATTCTTGAATTCTGACCCACTATTGATAACATTATTGTATTCTTATTGTCTAGCAAATAAAAGAGTAACAAAATGCATGAGAGAAAATGGGCTCTTTAACTGAAAAGAAACAAACCTTTTTTCTGCATTATAAATGATTTTGGTCTGTTTCAGAAGAAACTTTGAACTGTCTACTCTACAAAGACACAACAAAGCTTTATAGTATAGACTGTATCTGTATGTATAGATTCCATCATTCAATCTTCTTTAAAACACTTTAATTATTGAGGGTTTGTCTTTATTGGGCATTTATATCATGAATTCATACACCAATTTCTAATCGTATAAAATCCTCCGCTGAAGTGAACTGCCCAGAAAGCAAAAGATGCTCCCCAACTCAACTGTCCATTTATCATAGATTTGGGAGTAAAGAGGGAGGTTCGCTAGACACAGAAATTTTCACATAACCATTTGGGATAAGGGTTGGGGTTAAAATAATAATAAAAAAATGGTTAAAAATATTAAAAGTGGTGCTCTAATAGCACCATTAATTATGTGGCAGTGGGCCTTACCCACTGCCTATGCCTTGTTTTTTTTTTTTTGGCATTCCAATGCATTAGTGCTATTAGTAGTCTTTTTTTTAGTGGTATGAATCAATAATATAGGATAAAATAAGTTATTTTGGTCAAATATAATAAAATGTCATATCTAACATTTTTCTCTTACAAAAGTCAAGAAAGTCAAAAAAATCTATCTCAAATAAAATTTTTTAATCACAGGTTAAAATAGTTAAAAAATTAAAAAATCAACCTATATCCCAAATAAACCCTAAGATATAGATGTGAGATAAAGAGTGAAACTCACATATTTTGCATACATTGTTGGCGAAATGGAGAGCATATATTATATAGGGTAAATTATACTGTGCCTGTTTGGTGCAGCTTAAAAGCTACTTATTTTAGTTTTCAGCCTAATTTAAGTTATTTTGATGTATTTAGCTTAACAATGCAGCTTATAGCTTTTTTGTAAATCAAAAATCAACTTATTCTTTGAGTGAGGCAAGAAATGCTTAATTTATAAGTTAGAAATCAGCTTATTTTCATAGTTATAAGCTATAAGCTGTTAAGGCATAAGCTATAAGAACTTTCTCACAGCTCTACCAAACAGGGCCACTCACTTATCTAGAAATTTTAAAAAAATATAATCAATTCAATATTTTTAATATAATTACACTAATCTATTTGTAGTAAGGCTAAAATAATTGAAACTAATACAGATGATGATAGAAATTGAAATAAACAAAAATAAATATATATTTTAATAGAAAAGAGGTGATAATACTGTTTTTTTATTTATACGACTAACAAATTACTAATTAAAAATAACCGAGAGAGAGAGAGCAGAGACAGAGAGCGAGAGCGAGCTGAGATGGAGGAGCGAGAGCAGAGAGAGAGAGAGCGAGCGAGAGCAGAGACCGAGCGAGAGCAGAGAGCCAAAAACCTAAGTCTGAAAATCTGCAAAACGTATGCAAATGAGGGGGGGGGTTTGTTCGTATATATGAGGACTTTGAAAACGCTGATCTAAAAAGCGATTTCATTTAAATGAAATCGCTATTAGAAATAGCGTTTTTTTGGCAACAAAATTTGAACTGAAATCGCTATTAGAGATAGCGTTTTTTAAGGGGAAATTTTTTTCTTAAAATCGCTATTACGAATAGCGTTTTTTGGCAATTTTCAAAAAAGCGCTGTTAGGAAAAGCGTTTTTATCCGCAGCCAAACAAACACTAGAAGCGCTATTTGTAATAGCGACTTATTAATCAAAATCGCTATTTGTAATAGCGATTTTACTGTTCATCTACTTTTGCGCTCCTAACAGTAAAAGCGCGAATAGTAATGGCGCTTTAACTTAGTTTTGGAATTCCGTCAGAAGTTGGCCTAGTTTTGGAAATACAATACAAAAATGGCTTATATTGGGAAAAGCCTCTATAAGCTGTTAAGGCATAAGCTATAAGAACTTTCTCACAGCTCTACCAAACAGGGCCACTCACTTATCTAGAAATTTAAAAAAAATATAATCAATTCAATATTTTTAATATAATTACACTAATCTATTTGTAGTAAGGCTAAAATAATTGAAACTAATCCAGATGATGATAGAAATTGAAATAAACAAAAATAAATATATATTTTAATAGAAAAGAGGTGATAATACTGTTTTTTTATTTATACGACTAACGAATTACTAATTAAAAATAACCTAATTGTTAAATTAAAATTTTAAGAGAAACCTATGTACTTATGTTTAAAATGTGGAATTAATTATACTTTTTTTTTTCAAACCTTTGGAGATGTGAGTATAATTTACCCCATAAGTACGGGAAGGAAATAAAGAATGTAATAGCTTTTAGCATCTTCATCGAAACTTTTAAAAATATATATAATATGTCAATTTTTTTTTTGAAGATTTAGGGGGTAAATTGATATATAAATTTGACATCTCTAAAAAAAAGTATACCACTCAAAATGTCAAATTTATTACTTCCTTCGTCATAAAATATTAGTTCATTTTGGAGAATCTTACTCTTTTTTTTGGTAGTACAATTATTATATTTTAAAATATTAACTTTTCAAAATTATTCTTTGACAGTGCAATTATTACATTTTGAAAATATTAATGTTAATAAATTTTAAAAAAATGACAAAATAAGAAATTCATATTATTTAAATTTTTAATTAATATTTTGAGATAATAAAAAATAAAATAAAAATCTAATATTTTGAGGCAAAGTAATATATTTTACTTTAACGTTTTCAAATCACATAGAGATTTTGTAAGAATCACTTTCTTAAGGATTTCACATTCGGTCAATTTTTACTTTTGAAAGTATCAAGTAAAATTTGATGTATGTGTTAAAGTCTGTTAAAGTGTCAATTTTACTTTTTTAAAGTGCTTATTACAATTTGAAGTATCACCACTTTTTTTCTTAATCATAGCCACTTGCATCTTGAAGAATTGGCTTATTTGGCATTAGTGGCATATTTTTCAGGCATATGATAAGATTTTTGACGTCATGTCATTGCTCAAAGTTTCTTATCTTTCACATATTATTGTTAGATAAGCTGTGCATCGTGTGTAATTTAGGGCTATAAACAAGTTGAGATAGGTTGAATATCAAGTTAGTTATTTAAAATTAATTTATTTATCATTCAAATAAGGTTTAATCAAATTTATTATGATCAATTGAACTTAAATATCTTAGTAAACATTTCAAATTGAGTGTCTAAATTTGTATGGAAGAAGAGTAATAATAATAATAATTCAATACGTGAAGGACTTAACTATTAGCCGTCAATGTAAAATACAACTTCTCATATATTTCACACTACATTTAAGAACCGAACGATGTTTTAACCTAAGCAACACATTTAAAAATAACGATATAATAAAATTGCACGAATATATATCTAATTATGCGACAGTACAATTTTTCTTTTCTTCTTAATTTGAAAGATCATAACTTTCAAGGTGATAATGTGGTTAAGTGTCAATGAAATTAAGTTGAAGGTGGCTTAAATGTGGTGGGGGTGGTGGAAGGCGGCCGGGGATGGAATAGGGGCAGTGGAGTTGAGATGCGGTGGAGGCAACTGCGGAGGAGGGCATTGGTAACACTTGGTGAAAAGCCCAAATGTGTCAATTTGGCGTACGAAGTTTGTCATGCTCGCCCACCCACCGAATCCAAACCCAACCACAAATACCCACACTACCACAAAGACATTGATCGTGTACGCGCCGGCCCACCTGCCCAAGAACCTCGGAGGCTGCTCCACTGCGTTCTGCATCACACGATTTTAATCAGACGGTTAGAATCACACAATCATGACTTTGTGTATGTACTGCGGCATATAGATTCTGATGATGGACTCGCATGATGCATGGAGGAAATCAATCGTACGAATTGATATTCTGCCCAATTGTATCAGCGAGAATCTCGTGCTTTTGAGCTGTATCATAATACTATATATATATACACTGATGTATTATTATATGTGTCTGTTCATTTTTGGTAGATAACACTTTATATTTGTCTTGCATGCACTAATAATTTGCCAACTACCAAATTTATAGGGACAATTGTTTAAAATGCAGAAAAGATTTGTACCCAAAAAAAAAAAAAATTAATGCCAAACAAACATATTTACACTTATAAAAATGAAATTATTATTTTTTTTATGGTCCACTGATTTGAGATTTTTTCAAATTTATGAGTAAGATTATAAATATATATATTTTTTTATAATATTTCTTATCACTTATTGTGAGTTGGCAGTAAGATATGTTGTAAAAAAAATGTGACTGTAGCAGGACTCCAAATTATACCACTCATTCTAAAATGCAACAATTTAAATAGTGGGTTTAGAGTTGCTTATAATTTATGCATTTTTATTTGGGACACTTTTTCATAAATTTATTTTTATATACTTATGTTTCATTTAGTTCACATTATTTTTTTATATTTTAATACCAAAATACCCCTAATAATATTTACATTTACATTGTGAATATTCCGTGATGTGAATGTTCATACCATTAATGTAAGGACTCATAGTCCAAACAAACACATCCGATAGATTACAATCTTCCCTTATCCCAGGACTAATAGTCCGATAATTGGTCACATCATTAATGTAAATGTTCGCATCATCAATGTGAATGTTAACATGTCAATGTGAATATTCACATTGTAAAATATGAATGTTCACATCACTAAATTGCTAATCGTTCAAAAAATATTTGTAATGGTAGAAATATCCATAAAATACCTTAAATATGAGAATTAGGATTTGACAGATCAAATGTCCAAATAATAGGACTTATTAGAATATAAGAATATCTTATAAACTAATTAAGATACAAACACTTGAAAATGAATTTTCTAATAAATTTCTCCTTTTATTTTGATGTTAATGAACTTTATCAAAATTGACATGAGTTGCACTTTAACATTTTTTTTTTTCACCTTATTAGCAACTCTATATTCTTATCAAAATTTCATTTTAATCTTTATAATTTTGCCAAAACTAATTTTGGTTTCCTTATTTTTAATTGTACGTTTTTTATATAAAATATCATGTGAGACGTATGTCAATTTCTGCCAATCTCATTGTCATCAATTAAATGAAATGGTGACATTGAAATTTGATTAAAAATTTAAGAATTGACAGTAAAAAAATAAGAGTGGAGGGGTAAAATTGAAATTTTGATAAAATAGAATGATTTCAAGCGTAATTAATCTTAAATTTTGCAAAATTACGAAGACTAGGATATGGTGTGTGCAGGTGCAGCATATTAGAGTATGTTACCTCACGGGCTGCTGCTGATTTGAAGATGATCATGTGGGCGAGAGCGGGGATGATGTAAACTGTGAAGCTAACGAGAAGTGATCCAACGGTGGAGTTGATGGGACCAAAGAACGGGAAGATGATAGCTAAGAACCATATGGGGATGACCACAGGCAATCTCACCGCCGCACGCTTGCACATGCTCTTGCACTCGTGCATCCCTATTGCCTTCTCCCACACAAAATATAGGGGTGTGCATGCAAACCCAAATGTAATAAACTGCACAATTAAATCATAATAAATACAAAATAAAATAATTGTTTATTAAAACTAACATCACTGGAAAGCTCTTTATTTAATTTTTTGGTATATGGATGTGTATGCATATTTAGAGTTAAAATAGTTTAACTTATATTTACCTTGTTACAAATTTATACAAGATTGGATCGTTGTATAAATAAAGACAACTTTAACATGATATAAAACTCGTTATATTTTTAAGTCAAACTTAAACAAATTATTTTTCAGTTCGATAAAATTATATCTATTGTAAAAAATCAAAATAATTGAGCTTAGCTAGTTATGTGCTTGATTAAAATTGATTTGAGCTCGAATTAAAAAAATAAAAATATTTTGCGCCTTGTTAAGGTAAACAAATCAGGGCGAACAACCTACTACTTAGCTCGTTTAATGTCCTTTGCATATGATAAAAATGTAAATTTGGACACAAACTTTTAGATACTATCTAATGCATCATGAATGCATTAGTTTAAGAAAAACTCTACTTATCCAGAAAAATTTATGAAAAAGTGGAGTTGAAATTTAATTGGTGTATCATTTGAAGTTCATGCATAGAGTGATTGTGGATTACACATTGAAAAAAAAAACATATATATTTGTATTAAGAATATCTGGTTAGGGTTAAACTCACCACACAAACTTTAAAATAACTAGTTTAACATCCAAATTTTAACAACAATGTTACGGATCACGAAAAAATTTAACAAAAATAATCTCTAAGTCAAAATGACCACGGTTTGGAGACAATTTTTATGAAACACTAATTGTGATATGTAGCATTTTTGAAATTTTAATACAAAAATGTAGATAAAAGAGAGAAGAAAGTAGAGGGGAGTTTGCCTGATGAATGAGCATCAAAATGACAGCCATGTTTTTGAAGGGTGAATTTGGGAGGAGAGCAAAAGCATTGGAGTGGTTGAGAAGCATGTCTCCAAATGCCCAATACACTGCTGCTGCTGATGGAAGTGTTAGTGTGAGCACATACAGGGTAGCCAGCAAGTATATGGCCTTGAACTTTTGTGGCTTCCACATTGCATGCATGATCTCCCTGCCCACCCCACCAACATTTACTTAAATTAACATCTTTAACATTCATATATTTCTATAATAAGTAATAATAATTTTTATAATAAAATTATCTCTGAGTATTATGCAATATTGTTAATGTGATTCTCCATATAAATGAGAAATCACAATACACATTAATGCTGTGTTTGGTTGGAGTTTTTGAGGTGGGATTTGGAAAAGGAATGAGAAATGTAATCCTATTTATGTTTGGTTATAATAAAAAATATATGGAAAAAGAAAGGAGGTGAGAAATAAATAAAGAAATATGATACCTTTTAGGACATCAATTATATTTTATAACTAACACAACCAAACATAGTTGGGATTTGGAATTCTATTAATTCTTTCTCCTTTTCCTTTCATTTCCATTTCCCTTTCCATTTCCCTTCCCAAATCCCCCAACCAAACACAGCGTAATGCTGTGTTTGGTTGGAGTTTTTGAGGTGGGATTTGGAAAAGGAATGAGAAATGTAATCCTATTTATGTTTGGTTATAATAACAAATATATGGAAAAAGAAAGGAGGTGAGAAATAAATAAAGAAATAGGATACCTTTTAGGACATCAATTATATTTTATAACTAACACAACCAAAAGCAAGTATATGGCCTTGAACTTTTGTGGCTTCCACATTGCATGCATGATCTCCCTGCCCACCCCACCAACATTTACTTAAATTAACATCTTTAACATTCATATATTTCTATAATAAGTAATAATAATTTTTATTATAAAATTATCTCTGAGTATTATGCAATATTGTTAATGTGATTCTCCATATAAATGAGAAATCACAATACACATCAAGAGTCAGTTTGGCACAATTTTTCTTAAGCTGAAAATAAGAATGTCTCATTCAATAAAAATTTTCACTACATTATTAGTTTGGAACACCATGCTAACAATGAGTTTGTTTGGTGTAACTTATTGTAAGTTAAAAATTGATAATCAGAAATTAAAAGTCAAAACCACCTATTCTCCATCTTTCGGATAATCAACTTTTTAAACTTATTTAAGTTATTTTTACATAATAAATTATAATAAATATAACACCAAATATTTTAATACAAACTTTCAAAAAAAATTAAATGTAAATAAATTGTACCAAATAGTTTCAATATCACGTCGGGCTCTGAGAGTAGTGAAATAATTAAAGTCCATAGTTTTTAGACAAACGGTCTGTGCCCAATGGGCTTAATTGCTGTCAAGTTCAATAGGCATGGGCTAAAGATTACCTGGCCTTGGGCTCTTTACTTCCTCTGAAAAGGCATGTAATGTGAAATTTCAAGAATAATATTATATTATAGGCACTAATTATTCTACATACTAATGTACCAATTAGTGATGTGATATAATTTTAGAATTTTTAAATATTTATAATTTATATAATAAATAGGATCATTAGTGATATTATAACATTAGTTAGTACATTAATATATACATAATTGATACATGTAACACCACCGAAATTCCAACGATCAAGGTGGACCCTTGCGCGCGCGCGCTCTCTCTCTCTCTCTCTCATGACAAAGGCAAAAAGTAATTAAAGAAAGAGTTCTGGCTTTCTACATTTAAAAAGAATAAACGGGTTCCCTAGAAAGGATGGCTTTTTGTCTCCCACGCCTGAGAGGGCAATTTTGGAATAAATGCTTATAATCATGATATATGAAGGAATTTTAGAGAATACACAATAAATGCTATCTACTAAAGAAAATTTTAAAATATTCATAAAATAGGAAGTACTCACACCACATAAGGGTTGAGGCACAAACTAGGCCTAAAGAGAATGAATGTGGTCCACTTATTTTGTTTTTAGAAATTATTTCAATGTCGTTTTTTAATGAAGCAATGATGTTTGACAATTAAAAAAATAATAACAATTTGATTTGATAATCATACATATATAATTTTGCAATCCAACTTTTTAAAAATAAATATGATGAAATTATATAATTATAATTATTGAATTAATTCAACTATTTGGTACATAAATAATTTAAATTATCGAATATGACCTACGACATAAATCACAAGCTCAACTAGATAGAAATGTTGTTTGGTATAACTATTTGAGCTGGTTATAATGTTATTTTATTTTTTTTTATCTTGAGTTTAGGTCATACTGTTTATTGTAACTTTTAATTATAATTTTTTTTTAACCCAATGTCCGGGTCAACTTTTACTTGCAACTTAATAAATAGATATAACTTAGATAAATTTTTAAAAAAAAATTATTATTTATATAGAAGCCAAGGGAGAATGCTTTAACTTTTATTTTCTAATTATCTACTTTTATGTTACAATAAATTACTACACACAATCTAAAATGATTTCATTCACCAATAAGAGAGACGCAAGATCTTTTTATAAGAAGGATTGGTGATAACATTATATGAACAGGGAATAACAAAGCTTTTGAATAAAGTTGATAGCTAGATCTCATAATGGTCAGGCGACCAAGCCCAGGTCACGTACACACGAGCCAAGGTTAAGTCATTTTCAACAATGACCTCAATGTGTTTTTACTGTTTTACCCATGCTCAAATCAAGTTTTTGCACATCGAAAAGCGTGGGGACAATATGAGGGGGTTGAACGCTAATAAAAACGTAAAAGACCCGCATGTAATGTAAATATATAATAGATTTTGAGGTTGTCTTTGTCTTACACAGTAACAGCATGTCCCCCGAATGTGTAGAGAATGTTTGTGGCCCCTGTGAAGTATAGTACCACCTTGCTTGGTCCTGAATGTTTCACTCCCTCCACCTATCACCAAATTATCCAAATACATACAAATTAAATTAAGTTTTTAATTTATTTAGAGACCTCAAAATATCATTTTTAAATTTATTTTTAATAATACTGGCAGCTACATGTCAATTATTGATTACTTTAAGAATTAATCAATTAATACTTAATTCCTTGTCATCTCAGTATAGATACATTTGAAAATAATATTTTAAGATTATTTAACATTACTTTGAACTTAAGCAACTTTGATTTTTATCAGTGTTTCACTTGTTAAAAACTCTTAATTATATATTTAAAACTAGTTAATTTTCAAAACTTGATTTTATAAATTTATAAAGTCCTGTGAAATTATGGATTAAATACACTTTATTCTATCAATTTTCTTTCTTAATTTTAAAATCGTATACTTAGACCTCTTAGGTATAAAAAGCCTTCAATTTCTGAAAGATATTTAGTAATAATTGAGAGATTAAAGTGTAATTAATCCGAAAATTATATTAAAAAAAATTCAAACTACGTACTCAAACTTAAACAACTCAACTTGAATCAAACTCATTTATCACCCTACATATATTAATCTACTACTATGAAAAATGATTTCCAAATTAAAAATATATATATATATACAGAAAAACCCCACTAAAATAATGTGATAGTAACATTTTTAAAATAATTATAAATTTTGATTTGATTTTTTGTTTAAAATAAAGAGATACAGTTATGTCACATTAAAAACTCTTAATTATATATTTAAAACTAGTTAATTTTCGAAACTTGATTTTATAAATTTATAAAGTCCTGTGAAATTATGGATTAAATACACTTTATTCTATCAACTTTCTTTCTCAATTTTAAAATCGTATACTTAGACCTCTCAGGTATAAAAAGCCTCAATTTCTGAAAGATATTTAGTAATAATTGAGAGATTAAAGTGTAATTAATCCAAAAATTATATTAAAAAAAATTCAAACTACGTACTCAAACTTAAACAACTCAACTTAAATCAAACTCATTTATCACCCTACATATATTAATCTACTACTATGAAAAATGATTTCCAAATTAAAAATATATATATATATACAGAAAAACCCCACTAAAATAATGTGATAGTAACATTTTTAAAATAATTATAAATTTTGATTTGATTTTTTGTTTAAAATAAAGAGATACAGTTATGTCACATTATTCTTTATAAATTTTCTATAAGCAAAAGTGGGAGTAATTATTCAGGAGGCAATGCCACAACATCTCAGCCATCCAGTTGAGATTGATTTTTCCTAAAAAGGGTTGAAAGGACATACCTGTCCATGGAGGAGAGAAGCAATGGTGAGGTACCAAGCGGTGTAAGTGGTCATTACCAAGCCAAGAAAGGACCATATTCTGTAGTTGTGAAATGAAGGAATGAAGACAGTAGTAGCACAGCAAGCTCCAAATATGTATGTCCAAGTCCTCTTGTCCAGATTATCATTTATGTAATATATGTTGCTGCATTTATATATATATAAAATGGTCAGTGAGTCAGTGGCTGCTTTGCTTCTTTAATTCTTTTGTTTATTAATTATTTGTAATAGAGTCATTAAAAATGAGAGTCAAGATAGAGAAAGAGCCAAAGACATTTGTTAAGTTATAGGTATTACCTTGCACAAGCTATGAGTTGCTCTTGTCCAGATTATCATTTATGTAATATATGTTGCTGCATTTATATATATATAAAATGGTCAGTGAGTCAGTGGCTGCTTTGCTTCTTTAATTCTTTTGTTTATTAATTATTTGTAATAGAGTCATTAAAAATGAGAGTGAAGATAGAGAAAGAGCCAAAGACATTTGGTAAGTTATAGGTATTACCTTGCACAAGCTATGAGTTGAATCACAGATCCAAACAGAAGAAAAGTGCAGTTGAATGCCAAACCCACGTTCCTCCAGTGTTTTCCAAGTAGACCATCAAGAACTTCAAACCACTTTATTCATAAAGTAATGCAAAAAACCAAAAGCAACCCACATGAGTATTGGATTTATTATATGTTCTTTGCATGTTAAGTCATTGGATTCTCTATTTTAAATCTTTATATTCTTCTATTTGAAATTTTGAATACACTTATAGTCATACCATTGGTATTTCACAAACGACTTTTAAATTGGAGCCTAGAGAGAAAAACCCGTGAGGTAAGCTATTGGACTAAGTCATAACATACAATACTTTCATATGGGGGTGCACTTCACGTCTAACATGGTACTAGCGGTAGGGTCGTGCTAGACTCTGGTGAGATATTGGCATTTTCATATTAATTGGGGATGTTCAAGATAAACTTATAAGATGGCATTTTCATATTGATTGGGGAGATTCAAAATGGACTTATAAGATGACACAAGACATATTTATTGTTGAGACACCTTTTGAATTAGTGCCCAAAAGGATAAACGGTGAGGTTGGCTATTGAGTTGAGTCATAACAGACAATACACTTATATGTGTAACATGTAACACATCTTGTCATACGAATATGTTTTGAGATTCCAACCATATTATGTTCCAAACATATATTGGAATAAATAAATTTGGTAATAGAGAATCTATGATGGTGAAACAATGTGTTTTTTTTAAAAAAAACAAGTACAAAATTTGGGAGAGTGATAAGGGGTTGTGAAGATTGAAGAGACCTGAATGACATGGTTCCTGAAATCAACTTTCTCTCTTTCTTTTCTGGTTCTGTATTCAACATAGAGAATGCTAATGAGGTAGGCTGTCCAACTACCCAACAAGCCATAGAAGAGCTGAAAAAGTATCCCAGAAAGCATCCCAAGCTGAGAAAATGAGTATGGCAATGTCAGCAGAACTTGAGCCACCTGAAACATTCAGTCAAACACCCACAAAACAAACCTTAAACCAATTGAAATGTTTGCTTTGATACAAACAGAGCAAGAACTACACATTATCAGAGAGAGAAAGAGAGAGAGAGAGACCTGATTTGAAGCACAACTAAACCAGGCATCATAGGCTGAGCCACCATGCCAGAAGAGGTTGGATATCCTGGTTTTGACATCCTTAGGATTCCCTTCAGTCTCCATCTCCACATAATTTCCTACAATCACAGTCTCCACCACCTTATCACTTGCCATCTCCCTCTCTCTCTCTCTCTCTCTCTCTCTCTCTCTCTCTCTGAACTGGTTTTCTTCCTACTGTATGTTCTGCTGTTCTAATGAATGGGTGTATCTCCGACATGCACTTGGGAATGAAGATGAATTGAGCTCATTAGGCTTATAGTGGTATGTATCTATATATATACACAATTTCTTAGGAGACATATGTAAATGAAAGAGGGGTCCCCAAATAAATATCATATTTGAATTTTTTTTATTGCACATAAATTAAAATGGAAACCAACTTGTAAAAATATAAAACTCGTTTTAAAATAATTGTTTCTAATTTTGTGATTAATTTATGTGTTTTTTAATTTTTCTATTTAGAAATGTAGTAAACTAATTGTGAATTGATTTTTTTCATATACTTTTCCACACAAGGATGATTCGATAAGAGTTGGGTTTATTTTACATTTTAATTTGAAAGAACTTGAAGGCTCTGTGAGGCCAATTATAAGATCCGTTTTAATGATTCGAACTTTTCGTTTTATAAAACTCTCAATATATATCATTCATTAAAAAATTAAGTTAGTTTGATAATCATAATTTTTTTTTATATTATTATTATTATTATTATTATTATTATTATTATTATTATTGTATTTGTCTCTAAAAAATGAGTAGTTTATTTTTAAAATATATACTTATCGTCTATTTTTTTTAAATAAATACGATAAAATGAAAATGGTATAATTATCTAATTGATTGAAATTTTTTATAAATGATATATACTAAAATCTTTACAAAATGAATAGTTTGGATTATTAAAAACGGGATCATGATAGTTGCATGGACTCTCAAGTTTTTTTAAATTGAAATGTAAATTTAAGATAAATTCAACCCAATCGATAGAAAGATAAAACTCACATTATATAATAGAATTGTCTTTTTCTAATTAATTTATGTCTTTTAGAATTTTTCATAAACAAAATCTTGAAGATTGGGAAAGCTGTGTTTGAAAGGATTTAAAATCCACTTTTGGAACTTCAAATCCACTTTACAACTTTGACGAAAACCACTGGCCTTTGTGCCTTTGAAAATTATTATTTTTTGTCAATTCTTTAAATTAATTCTTTTGTTTTTTAGCTAATTATTTAATCAAAAGAATAATTACTCTTAATAATTTTTTAAACAAATAATTATGGGAGCGAATAGAGAATCTATGATGGTGAAACAATGTGTTTTTTTTTAAAAACAAGTACAAAATTTGGGAGAGTGATAAGGGGTTGTGAAGATTGAAGAGACCTGAATGACATGGTTCCTGAAATCAACTTTCTCTCTTTCTTTTCTGGTTCTGTATTCAACATAGAGAATGCTAATGAGGTAGGCTGTCCAACTACCCAACAAGCCATAGAAGAGCAGAAAAAGTATCCTAGAAAGCGTCCCACACTGAGAAAATGAGTATGGCAATGTCAGCAGAACTTGAGCCACCTGAAACATTCAATCAAACACCCACAAAACAAACCTTAAACCAATTGAAATGGTTGCTTTGCTAAAAACAGAGCAAGAACTACACATTATGAGAGAGAGACAGAGAGAGAGAGAGAGACCTGATATGAAGCACAACTAAACCAAGCATCATAGGCTGAGCCACCATGCCAGAAGAGGATGGATATCCTGGTTTTGACATCCTTAGGATTCCCTTCAGTCTCCATCTCCACATAATTTCCTACAATCACAGTCTCCACCACCTTATCACTTGCCATCTCTCTCTCTCTCTCTCTCTCTCTCTCTCTCTCTCTCTCTCTCTCTCTCTAAACTGGTTTTCTTCCTACTGTATGTTCTGCTGTTCTAATGAATGGGTGTATCTCCAACATGCACTTGGGAATGAAGATGAATTGAGCTCATTAGGCTTATAGTGGTATGTATCTATATATATACACAATTTCTTAGGAGACATATGTAAATGAAAGAGGGGTCCCCAAATAAATATCATATTTGAATTTTTTTTATTGCACATAAATTAAAATGGAAACCAACTTGTAAAAATATAAAACTCGTTTTAAAATAATTGTTTCTAATTTTGTGATTAATTTATGTATTTTTTAATTTTTCTATTTAGAAATGTTGTAAACTAATTGTGAATTGATTTTTTTCATATACTTTTCCACACAAGGATATGATTCAATAAGAGTTGGGTTTATTTTACATTTTAATTTGAAAGAACTTGAAGCCTCTGTGAGGCCAATTATGAGATCCGTTTTAATGATTCCAACTTTTCATTTTATAACTCTCAATATATATCATTCATTAAAAAATTAAGTTAGTTTGATAATCATAATTTTTTTTATGTTATTATTATTATTGTATTTGTCTCTAAAAAATTAGTTGTTTATTTTTAAAATATATACTTATTGTCTATTTTTTTAAAATAAATACAATAAAATGAAAATGTTATAATCATCTAATTGACTTAATTTTTTTTATAAATGACATATACTAAAATTTTTACAAAATAAATAGTTTAGATTACTAAAAACGGGATCATGATAGTTCCATGGACTCTCAAGTTTTCTTAAATTAAAATGTAAATTTAAGATAAATTCAACCCAATCGATAGAAAGATAAAACTCACGTTATATAATAGAATTGTCCTTTTCTAATTAATTTATGTCTTTTAGAATTTTTCATAAACAAAATCTTGAAGATTGGGAAAGCTGTGTTTGAAAGGATTTAAAATCCACTTTTGGAACTTCAAATCCACTTTACAACTTTGACGAAAACCACTGGCCTTTGTGCCTTTGAAAATTATTATTTTTTTGTCAATTCTTTAAATTAATTCTTTTGTTTTTTAGCTAATTATTTAATCAAAAGAATAATTACTCTTAATAATTTTTTAAACAAATAATTATGGGAGCGTGAGTGGCTAATTGGCTTGGCCGCACGAGTGGGTTTCCCCACTTCCAAGGTCTCTCAATTATAATGTTTCTTGATTTCCCTAATCTACCCTTGATTATTGAATTTATTTACTCATATGCCATTGCAACTTGACAGTAGTGCCTTGGGCTATTATGAACCTCAAATTTGCTTATTGCATTTGAGGACAATACCTAGTATTAAATAGCAAGAATAGGGGACCCTGGACCACTTCTCATTGGTGGGTTGGAGGCTTGTGTTTTTATAACTTGTGCCTGCATTGCATTAGATTGTCCAAATGATGGACCTAATTAAGACGTCTTATAGCTAGACCAAATTAAATTAATACTACCATTAATTCTAAACCATTTTATCTTTTAAACTAGTGTTATGTTTAGATCACAAATTTGTAAAAGAAAAAATGAAAATAAAAATGAAAAGTGAAATAAATTTAAAGTTTGATTTCGAACACTTTTAAAGGTTAGCCAAGTTAATGGTACTAATCACCTTTGCAAATTGCAAAGTTTGTTACCTAAAAATCCAATATGGCCTTCACAAAGATCAGAAGGTTATCAATGTTAACCGTTACTTGTAAAAAGTGCATAAAAAAATAAAATGTGAGAATATAATTCATACCATGCTATACCTTAATTTGAACCATACATTTTATTTTTAGTAAATTTTTCTATGTTTATAACTTTGTGTTCCCAAACTATGTAATTTATTGTCATTGGACCAAATGAAAAACAAAGTTAAATCAAAGCAAAAAGAGTATGGTTCCCCCGCCCCCGCTCCCCCCCAAAAGAAAAAAAAATTTGTTTGATGGAAGAACAAGGAACTTTGTGGGAGGAGAAAAGGGATAAAATAGGAATAATGCATACTGATAATGTGTATAGATAAATTGTTGATTATCACTTCATCTAAAAGTTTAAGCTGCTAGAAAGAGAGGTAATTTCAATATTTATATTATATTCTCAATATCCTTTTTACGTGTAGACCAAACTCTTTTCTATAAACGGATCATCTAAATATTTTTAATTATTTGAGCAAACGGTGAGATCAAACATAAGATGTATTATTTACTCTAAAATCATATTAGATTGGTATATATATATACATACATACATACAAAGAGAGAGGGGGTGAGGAGGAGGAGAAGGAGGAGGGTGGTGGTGGAGGAGGAATTATAACAAAGTAGACCGAATGATTGCAGCCAAACGGGCGTGGTCGCTTTTACAATGACAAGAAAGTTACTTTTTATTATCACTCACATCACATGGGTGCATTTAGGCTAACAAAGACCCCTTGTGGACTCCAAATTTCATTTCTCACTCAAACCCCAATACCCAAATGTCTTCATTATTCTTGATATATGGACAATCTAATGTAAGTATAATGGAGACAAATAAACATTTGAGAAGCATAATAACGCCCCTTCCTTCAAGAGTTTTTAGATTATATCACCATGTGATGTGTTCTTGGTATCAATTATATTTCTTTTCTTTCCTTTTTAATAAATTATTAGAAGGTATGGAGATTCGTATATGGGTGTGTTTCAAATTTATTGTTATAAATTTGCAATTACAAAGGATTTGTAGGTGTATTTGAATTCGATAATTTAAATATTAAAAAAAGTTGTAATGTTGATACGAAGTCAAATGTTTGCATTAATATATAAATATAATAATAGAAAGAATAGATATTGGAAAATATTTACTCTCACACCCCTTATATTCTAGAAGGAAAAAAAAAATTAAGGAGTGAAAAAAATTGAAAAAATATATAAGAGAGTAAGACGATTGCCTCTATATCATGCAAAAGCACAACTCGTTAAAGCCTATCGGTTGATATTTTTGGCCAGACAAAATTCGGGCAGGCTAAAGAGTGACTTGTGCTAATTTAGGAAAATAGAACAAGAGTTTAGTATTTTATTGGTGATTACTCGTATCACTTTTCATTTTCCTACTTTCTTTTTTATACAATCGGGTGACATCATTTGAGTGTCATTTCATATTAATTATTTGTTGGAAAAAATGATTTTTGGTGACTTTAATTTAATATTAAAGTGTGGTGACTTTAATTAAAGATTAAAGTGGGTCCCAACCATCTATTGTGTTGGGTCCAAGTGGGTCTAGATACTTTGCATTGAGATCTTTACACCACAGATAGAATGGCCAAAAACCATTGAGATTTGAATGAGAAATTACCTCATGAAGTTAGCTTCATGGAAAAAAAGGTAATAAAGTTTGTAACTCCTGCATTAATCGGGTTTGTAACTCCTGCATTAATGGGGTTTGTAACTCCTGCATTAATGGGGTTTGTAACTCCTGCATTAATGGGGTTTGTAACTCCTGCATTAATGGGGTTTGTAACTCCTGCATTAATGGGGTTTGTAACTCCTGCATTAATGGGGTTTGTAACTCCTGCATTAATGGGGTTTGTAACTCCTGCCTTAATGGGGTTTGTAACTCCCGTCTTTATTGCAGAGTCGTATCCTAGGAGACAGACGTCGGGATTCCTCAAGCACTCGACCAGTGAGGCGGCGAAATCTATTTTAAGGAAACTGCTTCCATGCAGGCTTCGGTTTCGTCTCTTTACCCTTTTATTGTTTTGTGTATTTCTGTTGAAATTTAGTTGTAATTATTAGCATGTTTTCTTAGTATATATATATAATTTGATTTCTTCATCAATCTATTTATTTAATTTCAAAATATGAACAACATTATTTTCTGAAAAATGGTTTGACTGTTATTTTGACACTTGCAAACCTTTGCCTTCTGTTATTTTGACTCACGGTTTTTTAACTGAGGTCTCTCATTTTATAGACCTTTATAGCCCACTATCACAATAGCAAAATAATGATACATATGAATAATATTTAAAATAAATTTGGTATGCACATTAAATTTGTATCACTTTTTAAGCTAGCTTTTCTGACTTTGAAGCATTGTTGTATATTCCATAATTCATTCGTTTAAATGTTGCTTCATCATTTAGATTCTCTTCGCCTATACAAGTACAGCCAAAGGCTACTACCACTTTCCTTTCAAAAGACGAGAGAAAAACCAAAGCACTCAAAAGAGTCTCTTAATGGTCATAATCCTCAATTTGGAATCAATATAAGTTTTTAATTGTAATGTTGGTATTAGTTTGTTGTCATACCTTTCTTAATTTTTCTTTCCCATGCATAAGATGTTTCATGTCAAATAATATACCACAAGAATTTTTTATTTTTTTTGTTGGGTAGGTAAAGTGGTACCACATGATGCCCAAGAGACACCAAGGGATTTTTCAATGAGGTAGATGCAAAGGCCACCATAACGCAAAGTATGAATTATAGGAAACTAATGTACTGATTGGTTCGAAGTAATAGGAAACTAATGCAAGCACTTAGGTGCTTTGTCAAGGGTGAGAAGATTTTCTCCCATAAGTGCTAATCTAACAACTAACAACTAACATTTGCCAATCAAAACAAAAAAGTAATTCCATAATAATTATTTTCTTAAAAGAAAGTTGCAGGAAGTGAAGTGGTTGAGATGCTCTCTTACTCGGTATAAAGCCAAAGTTCAAGTCTTATCATTGTGAATGTAACTTCCCTTCCTCCTATTCCCATTACTTTTCTGGATTTTTTTACTTTTATATTTTGTGCATGACTAGTTTAGAAAAAAAATTTGGTGAAGACTAAAAAAAACTAGCTAAATGCTATCGAGGGAGACTAGTAATGGTCATAAGTTGTAGATTTACAAAAAAAATTGGGGCAGTAAAGCGTGAAACCTTTACATCCTCTTTATAGTCCTTGATTGAAATTGGGGGGTGAGGGGTGGATTCCTCGACATCCTCCCCCCAAGTTGGCTTGGAGGATCGGGTTCAAAGGGCCCGGCCTTGGGGGTTCTCTGGTCATGAAAAAAAAAAGTCTACCAAGAAATAATTGCCAAAAATAATATTGCCAGTATGTATATTCACATAATTAAATCATAAAAAATATTTAAAATATATATTTCAATATAAAAATATACATGTCAACTAGAAGTAAACTTGATTGTGGTAATATGCATATTAAAAAAAAAAAATATTCTCTGATTTATTTATGTGGTATGTCGATTTAAGAGAAAATAGTTTCTATGACTATGAATACAATTATTAGTGGAGCATGAGGTAAGTATTAGGTTACCAACATCCAAACCTTTAAATAAAATAAAATAAATAAATTAGTGTTATATTTACACAGCATTCTCTATTCCTACTACTCTAGATAACGACCCATCTTTCTTTAATTTGAATATATCAACAGAAGAGCATACTGATCATCTTTAATCTCATGATGATAAACCATGATGAGTTTTGTATCTAACAAAACTAGAATAACCAACAAGTTGCTATCATTGACATTATTATCATTAAAAAACAAAAAACACCACTTTTCTAGGTCAATGAGAATGCAAAGCAACATATATTGAATGTGTTAATCATTTATTTTCTAACTACTTAATAACAGTGTGTTAGCAGTATAATTCACACATAAATAGTCTCTCGATAAATGAAAAACCCTAAACCCTAAACCCTAAACCCTAAACCGTTAGACAAGTCATTGTTTACTCACTTAACTATCTAACAAAGTAAGGTCAGTATTTTTTCACTCTTAAAATTTTCCATTACGTTACTAATTAGTAACATACAAATAATAACAATTTTTGGACTTGAAGTTCAAAAGCTTTGTTATGGTGCAGAGCAACATATTGATGGGTTTTTATTTGTTGGGCACCACCACACAGCATCCACATCCACATGCTTTGTTTTTGTTTTGTTAACAAGTGATGCATGCTTTCAAGTATTAAGTCGTCATAGAACAGATGGGACCAGAAACATTCCCCTGTGGACTATGTCTCCTTGACTGCATGCTTTCAACTTGATGAATTTGTTTTGTTTTAAAATGATAGGCTCTTAATGCAGTCACATTCTGTACAAAATTTTTTGTATGTTTTGTTTTGTTTTTATGTATTATACTAAATCCTTTTACAAAAGTTGAATAGAGCTTTCAGTCATTGTATTAAGTTTTAAACACTTAAAATGAGAAATTTGATTTTTTTTTTTTTTTTTAAATTGATAAACCTCAAAATAGATTTAATGATGTAGTCCTTGAGATGGGTTCAGTATATTGAATTTGTTTGGTATAACTTTTTACAAGTTAAATGTTAATTATAAAAAATAAAATAAAAAAACATAAAATAAAAATGCACAAAGTACTCAAAAAATCATATAATTGAACAAAGTCGAGTTGATTTGATTTTTTCAATTCATTAATTTAGTTCTGAGTCTTAAAATTATCAATCCAAAAGAATTGATAATTTTAGTTCTGAGTCTTAATTTAGTTCTGAGTCTTTCATTTCTTACCTTCATCCACTATACTACTCCCACACATCCACCAGCTTCAAGATCCAATTCGATAATTTAAATCGTTTATATTTTAAAAGATATTGAGTAAAACATACATGCAAAAATCATGCCAATCAGATATCATTAGTTCTTTCATCAAATCTCATTTGCATTGAGTTTTATATTTCAACTTACATTTATCATTTATTTTTTTAAATACAAATGTGATTTGATGAAAGGGTCATCGATATTCGATCGACGTGATTTTTTACATGTATATTATACTCGATATTTTTTAAAATATTAACAGTTCAGATTATCGAATTGGACCCTGAAATGGGCCCAAAGGCAGCCCCATTTTGCCCATTTCTCCATTGGAATGTTAAAATGTTCAAGGTTTGTTTATTCTAACTATTTATTGTTAATCAATTCACTTATTCTTAATAATATCGTAAAACAACAGTTCCAACTGAAACGCATAATTGGTTGGATCTTAAGTCTAAAAATCTAGAATCAGTCATGATTGTTATGAGTCCAGTAAGAACCGAACCAAACTAAAATGTGCACAACCCTACCTAAAAGTACCCCATCCCTTGCTTTCTTAAGCTTATTTAAGTTATTTTCATCTCATAATTTGTAAACAGAAATTGATTAAAAATTAAAATTTTATAAACAATCCAATAAATTGCACCAAACTGAGCCAGTGTATTGTGTATAAATTTGGCCAAATTCACTCTATGGTAAAAGTTAGAAAATTATTTAGTTTGTTTGGTTATAGTTTTCAGAAAATTTTATTTTTTTATTTTTCGTATTTTAATGTTTTTAATGAATTTTTTTTAATATTTTAAGCAATTTGTTTTAATTTTTAGACACACATAACATAAATGCACGTAAAAAGTATAATATTTGTGAAAAAAATCTTTAAAAAATACACAAAATACCAAAAAATATTTTTAAAAAATACGAAAATTCAGTACATTTTTCATATTTTTGTATATTTATTAATTTTTTGAAATATTTTTTCAAAAATATTTTACTATTTAGAAACATCTAAGTAAGGTACATCTAAAAAAATAAAAAAATTATTTAAATTTAAAAAATATTCACTAAAACTAAAAAAATAAAAAATTCAATTTTTAGAAAACTGAAACCAAACACACTGATTAAAATTATTAATGACTCAATCGTATGAAAATTATTACCTGTTTGTTTCCCGTTTTTCGAAACTACTTTTTTTAAAAATTTTAGAGTTACTGTTTGGTTGTCCAGAATCTCTATTTCGAATTATTTTTCAATTTTATTCTTCACGTAAACTCAATAAATGTGAGGTATCACTACAACCTATTACTCTACTCCTACTAAACTCTACTTTACTTTCTTTTTTTTTCCGGACCTACCTTGTACCTACATGCGTGAGACTAATGTTGATGTGAAATTTTTTTGTTTTTTTGGTTAGATGTACTCTTGAGGCAACCCTCTCTCTGCAATTGTAGAGGGAAATTTGAAATTACAATAATGTATTTTTTGGAAAACTAAACACATCCATTTTTAAAGCATAGTTTTCAAATCATTTTTTTGAAAAATAACTTAAAAAGTAAAACCAAACATGGTGATTAATTTTCCCAAATTTTATGGGTATGCAACCTGAAAGTGACCACGTGTCTGAGAGCTCTCACGAGGAGCCATATATGTCTAATGGAATAATTCTTTTACAAAATTGTTACAAATAAAGTTAAAATTCCTTCTCTCTTTTGAGTATCTGAACAGAACATATTAATAACCAATGTCTCAACCATTTGGACGCATACAAGCTCCAACTTCATCTATAAAAGCAATCCTAATATGTATGGTCTCCACAATCAATGGCTCAGAATGAAACTAGCAGCTCAACCGCCATAAACCCAAAAAACAAAAATGGATGAAATTTCTCTACCCTGAAAAGAAATACATCGTCTCATTCCACCATTACAGTAGTTGGTACATTTTGCTTTCTTCTGAGCTTTACTTGACTTGACCTGAATATATTAAAGTTCACTCAGGTGTCTAACAAATTACAAAGGGGAAGGAAACAGGTCCCCGTGCTTCGAATAAAGATCAGAAACAGCAAGCATTAGTGGCAGTATCTTCATCAAAAACAAGCATGAAAGAAGTACACCCATCTCTGAGGTAACAAGGAACTACAACAGTCACTTCCCAATGGAAGAAGATTTTCTCTACCCCTGCTGCTTTGTCAAAGATAAATGCTCTCAATGTTTCTTTGTTTTTGGTGATGCGAAATATTTAACATCAGATCCAGAAAAACCACAAGGTATATTTGTAGTCAAGGCACAACCAGTGTGTGCAGATACAAAGCGATTAATAGCATGTTAAGATTGAGATCTTTCCCGCATTTTTGCTCTTGCAAAAAACACTCCTGCCACCAGACCTACAAAATGCAGTCAGAGCTCGCTCATGGCCATTGGGATTTCAAAAAGTAAGTACATTCTTGGGAAAAAATAAATAAAGAAGCCATATCTATTGCCAAAGCAAGGGGAGGGTATTGGCTAAACAAGTGTTGCTAATTAATAAGTTCTTTGAGAAAAAACCTCCCATACTTCGGTAATAGCTGCTGCCAAACACAAAATGGAGAAAGCCTTACCAAAGAGTATGCTTGTAGCATTCTCTAGATTTGTAGGGACATTGAACAGAAGGATACCGGCAATAGAGAGGGGAATTTTATTCAGTGACCCAACAAGGCTGCAGGCGAGGAAGGATTGCCAAGAAACATAAGTATTTCAATCATTAGATCTGTGCGAAAATAAAAAACAGTATCCAATAAAATAATGTACTAGCAATTATTGTTGCGCATATCCAACATAAACTGAGCCCAGGCTCTAGGGCACCAAAATGAGATACACTAGAGCCTCAGATAAAAACTTAAGATTAGTCACCAGCAAGGTTTAAATTGCAGTTTGGCATCTGACATCACAAAAAAACCTAAGGTCCATAAACATGCTGGATCAGTCTGCCTCAACCATACCCAACTTTAACCATCAACCCACCTCAAATTTATACTTCGTCAACCAGAACCAGTGCAATCAAACAACAATTTGAGGGACAATGATAAAAAAACTGATTTATAATTAAGATCGCACCAAGTTGCATGGCTTGAACATAAACACACAAGCTGCTCGCAATGTTTATATATTTCTGCATGTCTTTAGCCTTACCTGTATGTAGTGGCCCCTGTTTGATGAAGAAACCACATTGAAGTGAAGCTGATTGCTAGGCCCAAAAATCCACTTAGCGTCATCACCAACCAGAAGGTGGGAATCCTTAAAAGCGGTCTGCCATTTATTGGGGGAAAAAAAAGGGGGGGTCAATAAAACAAATAGAAAATTGAAACATGACTAAACACAATAAATGGAGACTTTAAGCAGAAACTCCAACTAATAAAACAAATAAATACTTCGGGAAATTTTTTATAGTGAGATATTCCAACAAGAGTCCAGGCAAACTGAGTACAGTCAGATAAGTTGGCAGTAGAAGATGCGGAAAAAGCAGTGTGCAGTGTCTGAACAAGTTCAACTAGTTCACTAGTCTATGTAGTGAGGAATTCAGAAGGAGAAGCCACATGCCCAGACGGGGTGGAAGTCAACTGTCACACAATTTGGTTTACCATACTTTTACTAACACCATGGCTTAGTATGAATAGTGGCACCACAATGATCACACTTCCTATAACCACATCCACTCAAACTACCACCACAAGAACCACCTCCACAAGAACCATCATGAGATCCACTACCACGAGAACAACCTCTACAAGAACCACCATAAGAACCACGGTTACAATAGCCACCATGAAAACTACCACGATAATTACCCCAGCCTCCACAACAAGAAACTAAGGCAGAAGAGGGAATAGACACGGTACTCAAGCAGAGTGAAATGCTTCCCTTGAAAGAAGCACAAGTGAAACAATACCAGGAAGCCTTCTGGGATCTGGTCCTATTTTGTACCAACTGCAAATCTAAATCTAATCCAAAGAGCAATGATGCAATCATATAAACCCCTCAAATTTTTGAAAGTGCTGCAATACTCAAACAATAGTTATCCAGATTGCTTAGTAGTAAAATTCTGATTATACAAATTATACGCCCAAGACTCACAAAGCTCAACTATAGTAGCAATATGGGGTTCCGATCTGTGTAAAGCCACAAATGAATCATCATTCCACCAATCACCATGTGTAAAATTCCCTTGTGGACGAGGAAGCTTCATAATTAATTTTGATCTCTTTTTCCCCACATAAAAATACTTCAGCATGTGCCCAAGCCAAATACTTCAGGCTATTCAATTTCTTTGTGGTAATCAATCTAGGCAAATCATCATCCTTAAGCAACAAAGGTTTTTCCTCAGCCATATCATATCAAACCAAAGCAAGAAGCAACTAAAGAAGAAAAAAAAAAAATAGCAAATTCAAAAAAATCCAGCCAAAATACAATATGGATCAAAAACCAAGGTGCAAAATAATCAAAATAAAGGCTAGGTCAGAGTTTGTTACAAAGCCAAACCACTTCCAATGAACTGCCCCCCGACTACCAGAGAGCCAAAATGCACTTCTAAATGACCTAACAACAACGAACCTCAACCTAGGTTTCAGACCACTATTTCGGCACCAATAATAGGTGTTCCAACAGTCACAATCAAGCAACAATGTGTCAAAACACAGATGAACCAAGGCACCAAAATATTACCAAACCAGATGAACGAAGGGACCAAGAATCAGATCAAACTAGATGAAATACACCAAAATAATGCCAAACTAGTAGAGAATCGAAGAAATAAGAGGCCCTTGCAAGCTCAAATAATAGGGCCGAACATTGTATCTTCAAAAAAATAGGTTCAAAACCAATCCCTAAAATAGCTCAAGATCGTACCTCCATTAGGTCAATCAGCACCCATAGAAGTTGTTCCAACCATCGCAAAGCTCATTGAAAAAAAGGGGAAAAAAGATGCAAAAATCATTCAAAAATAGTAAAGCACATCAAATGGCTTCAAAAAAAACAAACAAACAAACAAACAAACAAACAAACAAAAATCACCACAATCACTAGGAGATCAAGATGAATCAAACCATATAGTTTCCCATAATATTTTTGGAATTCTTAAAGGTAGATGATACCACTAGAAAAGGCCTCATTGATGAAATTATAAATGTATTAAAAAATCTTGAACTTGATATTAATGATGTATATAACATTATGATAATGGGTCTAATATGAAAGGAAAACAATGACAGACCTGGAAAAGACTTCTACATATAAATTCTAAAGCATTTTACACACCATGTGGTTGTCATAAAATCTTAATCTAGTACTGTTATATGGTCTTTTTTTATTAAAGCTGTAACTTTTTTTTTGGAGTAGCACAACATATGTATTCATTATTTTTGTCTTCTACAAAGCGATGAAAAAATTTATAAGATAATGTACCAAGTTTAACTATTAAGGCATTGTCACAAAGTGTTGTAATTAAAGTATTTGTTGACAAGTCAGTTAGTAAGAATTTGCAATCAAAAGCTATACATATTGAAGTTGTTATAGACCAATTAAAAGGTCTTATTTCTTTTTCACAAAATTATAGAGAACATGGATTTACATATGTTATGATTTCATCTAAAGATATTGCAGCTCAAATAAATAGAACCCGTATTTCATGAAAAACATATAATTCTTAGAAAGCAAGCAATCAAAATCTGTTGAAGAACCTTTTAGGTTTGATTATTTGTTATATATAGTACATCAAACTATTTCATCAATTCAGAATAGGTTTGAACATTTTCAAAAGTACAGAAATATTTTTGACTCTCTATTTAACTTTGACAAATTAAAATCACTTGATGATGATGCTTTGAAAAAATATTGTCTTAACCTTGCATGTGTTTTGAAAAATAATATTTCTTCTAATATTGATGGTTTAGATTTGTTGGCAAAATTAAAAGTTTTAACAGAAATTTTACAAGCAGAAGAAAACAATACAGTTGATGTATTAAATTATATAAAAAGATTAGATTCTTTTCCAAATGCATGCATTACTTATAGATTCTTATTAACAATAGCTTCGGCATAAATAAGTTTTTCAAAATAAAAAATGATAAAAACGTACACAAGAATGACTGTCACAAAAAAAGATTAAAATATAACTTAATTAGTAATTTTGCATCTCAAAAAGAAAAGCAAATAAATAAATATTTTATAATATAAAAATATAACTAGGTTGGGTATACACTCGTAGTGAAACAATAAAAGATGACAATAGCACCCTCAATATAACATAAGAACAATAACACGAACCCTCTAATTAATCTGTGAATAATAAAACTTTCTTATGTTTGGCTGTGTTTTTTTTTTTTTTTTGGAAGACAACTTGATATTAAAACTTTGCAAGTTTCATTTAGTTTTCTCCTTGTTTAAACAGTGAATAATAAAGAGATAATAAAAGCATGACAAATGTTCACAAGCAACGACTCTCATCATGTTTGGAAGTAAATAGTTATTATAAATGGAAGGCAAGCAATTCTTATATTTGCAACATGCAAGTAAAAACTTTGTTTACTAATTGTGTATGTGCTGTGAAAAGTTTTCTTAAATTATTATATTTGTAATACATTTGAAAAACATGTGCTAGAGAATTGAATGCCTAAATGGCTGAATCAAAATCCATGACTTGCCCTATGGTTGTACTTGTGACCACATCAATCATAAAATGTTCAAGAACAGGAACAATAAATAACATAGAGCAGCCTCAGGATGCAGAGCAAATGGAGGATGTTCCAATGAGAAAAAAATCACATTCTAGCAAGGCAGTGAAAATGTTGCTTGTGACAACAATGATGGGATTCATGGGAATGATGATGATGTTGCTGAAGAGAACATTGGTGGTGATGACAATTATGATGATTGATTTGTGCCTATATACATTATTTTGCATTATATATCTATTCTTTTGGGTATATTGAGTATCTACAACATAATTACCACTAAATTCTGTAGACTGGACTTGGCATCCCTGCATTGATCTTTCAAACCATGTTAAATTGTGTTGGAGTTCTGTGTTTCAGCAACCAATACAGCAAAATTTAAAACTTAAGTAGCACATCCTTGTGTTGTGACAACAATGAGACCTATCGAGAGTTGCACATTCATAACAATTTCTAAGTATCATTTGACAAACCAGATTAAAGTAAATACCAATAAAAAGAAAAGAAGAATAAAAGTATTCTTCTAATTCAGTATTCAAAGGAAAACAAGGATAGTCTGCATTTTATACATTAAGCATGGTATTAGAATTTGTTTCCCTATTAATTCTAGCGTTTATATGTTAATGGTTAGGTTCATTTAAGTAATTTAAATTTAAATTCACATAAAATAGTAACATCATAACCCAGCATGTCATATCATAAAAATAATTTGTTAATAAATCAACAAAAGATAAATTATAGGAGACTTGATGCCTCACGTTACCTTTCCACGTCATAAAATTAGAACGGAAAAAGAAGAAGAAAACTCACGTTGTAGAAAGATAATCCACCTCATTGAAGACAGCAATAAGTAGAAGTCCCAAGGGCAATGAAAGTGTGTTATTAAGCAAGACCATTGAAAACTCGTTCAAGTTTCCAGATTTTGTAACTTGCTTTGCTGTATCCATGATCCTACGCAGCATTAACTGCAACACAAAGATTTGATAATGAATATATATATATATATATCCTTAGCTAAAACTTAATTATATTTTAAAATTAAAAAAATATATGGACAAGGCAAAGGCATATGATAAAGCAGCAAACCATTACACGGGATTTTTTTTTTCTATCTATTTTCATAGACTGAAATCAAGTAATAATGGTTGGCATGTTTGCTAAATTTTGTGAATTCCTGTGCATCACACGGGTCATTGCTAGTATATATAAATATATATACGAATGTGAATTTATGGGATACAGAGAGAGGAGTTACTTGGCTTGGGTTGTGATTGTAGTATCTCAACAGTGTAAGAGGGCATAAGGGTAATGTTTAATGTTAGTGATAGTGTAAAATGCTGTCTTCCAGTAGTGTAGGATTTCTTTATTCCTGTACATGGCATGTGCTGTTTCATACATCTTTTTTTTTGCAAGCTTTCACACCTCAGATTCATTAAACTGTTGTGGACTAAAGGTGTAGAAATGAAGGCAAGGGTTGTGATTTTAGTATCTCAACAGTGTGACAGGGTATAAGGGTAATGTTGAGTGATAGTTTTTTTTTTTTGGATAAATAATCAAACTTTATTAGAAAAGCATCAAGATGATGCAAAGAATACAAAGAAAACAGCTCACATTAGGACCAAAACAAGACTAACTAATCAAGTCCTCCACAAAATCTACAAAAGCCAAAACATTAGGATTAACCAAACCCGTAACCCAACTATGCAAAACCATCAACAACCTACTCTCTAACCAAGAAACCGAATGACACACATCCTGAAAAACATGCCTGTTGAGTGATAGTATTAAATGCCGAAGAAGAAGGGTGTAGAAATGAAGGGGAGGGTTGTGATTTTAGTATCTCAGCAGTGTGAGAGGGCATAAGGGTAATGTTGAGTGATAGTGTTACATGCTAAAGAAGAAGAAAAAAAAGAAATGAAGGGGAGGGTTGTGATTATAGTATATCAACAGTGTGAGATGGCATAAGGGTAATGTTGAGTGATAGTGTTATGCTAAAGATGAAGAAAAAGGTTTTTTTGTACGGGTCACCATCCATGGTGGCCGACCATGGCTGGGTTCGTTCAACCAAGAGTGGCAACTGGAAGAATATGAAGGACGATGGGGAATTATCTAGTATGATCAAGTCCATGGGTTTACAGAGCACCCTCAAGACTTTCATGCAAACAGGTGATTTTTTACTTTGAAAAAAACCCTTTCACAAGGAAATTATTCATATTGTTATGTAGTTTCCATGTTCATTAAGGTTAAGGTGCGCAGACAGGAGATATATGATATATCTATAACATATAATTCCTATTAACGGAGAATCAAATTTAACAAGATGAATAACGGCTTAACAAAGTAATTTGAGCATCAAAGGTAAATTATGACCCCAAAAATAAATAAAAGATATTAATTGAAAACCTAGTAAAAAACAAGAGTAAATGAAACACACTAAAAAATAAACAAACAAACAACTCTCAGAGAAGCAAAAATAAATAACATTTTCATTCATGGCTATATATACTAATGAAATCATCCAAAATAATCCCAGTTTTATTGAACTTTGGCAGACATGTCATGCTGCCCCAGAGCAGTCTTGTGCTCCTAGAAGAATAAATTCTGGGTAATTTTGTTATTCAAATCTCTGGAAAAGAGTAGGAAAGAAGAGAAGACAAAGAAACAATCGAAGAGGAAGAACACTTAGATATCGGATCTAAACAAGACTAAGAACTCTGAAACGGAAGGAACAGAAAATCTATGAAAAAGATTAGAGTAGTTGTGCTTTCTCAATAGCACTTTCCTCCCTTCTATTCTTCACTCCAATCTAGAGAAGTTTCACGTCCTTACCAAGTACCTGTTATGTGCAATATTGGCGAAGCCTGTGAGCTACATAACTCTTTCTGGCGTGTTTTTCTCTTAACTCAAAAGCCACTGTTTCCTTGATGTCTAGATCTGGAACTACCCCAGATTCAGGTATTTTCCCTTGGATTTGTATAAGAAAAGGATCACTCAGCGCCTTATGTCGATGATGTCTATAAATTTATCATGCATTCAAAATAATGTATGTCATTTTTCTTCAAAGAATGGTATGAATAAGTAAATACTTGATTAATTCCGCTAGAAGGGATAATCTGTCATTTCCTATACACAGGAATACAAGGGGTATTTTCGTTATTTTGGCATCTGAAAGTATAGACGCAGTAATAAAAAAATTCATTTTTGGGGTTGTCTAATAAATTTTAGCTATTGTGGAACCAACTGCAGAAGTAATTGCAATCCATTAGTTTTCTCTAGAATTTGACTGCATAATATAGGGAATTTGTTAGTAAAATAAATTCCACTACAAGGACAGTTCTGTTATTTATCATTTTCTGGCACTATCGGGTACTTTTGTTATTTCAACATCTTTAAAAGTACAGCTGTAGTGTTAAAATAACTAATGTTTGTGTTAGTAAATTTAAGTTACTTTCGAACAAAGTGTGGAAGTAATTGCAATCTGCCAAAAAATTTCAGACTTTGACTGCATGGTTTTGGGAATAGGTAACATTTTTATTTTCATTATTTTATATCTTGAAAATAGACAACATAATTGCAATCTTCTCAATGTATGGATCAAATATCTGGAAAGGTAAACTTTTTGCAGGAATCTCTTCCTTTGTAGCCATTTAGTTAGATGCTTACTTGCCAAAAGCTCTTACTATTTGCCAGCTGATTTATTCCCAGCAAACCATCTCTAAAATCCGGACATGTCCCAAATTATACACTACTTATTGCAAGTCCATTTAACAATCCAAATTCCCTGATGAAATGACAACGTCTATTACTCAACCACAAGGGATTGACTGAAAAAACAAAGTAACAAATACATAAAGCAAGTAGCAAATGAAGAAGAAAAAATCCAAATCAAAATCAAAGTTATAATATCATGTACAGTATCATATAAAAAAAGGTTGATGATAAATGAATCAACAAATGGAAACCACTTTAAGCAACCAAGACACTCACGGAATATGATGCTGTCAAGAAACAATTGGCAAGCTGCCATGCATAGCCAACAGCATGAAAAGATATATCTGTAATTCCTCCAGAGATTGCTGATACAATCTGCACAACAGAAATGCAATATCCCTTCAACCTTCATGAATGGACCTTTATCATGAATTTAAAAAAGATGTTAATCATATGCTGTTGTAGATAGATTAGCATTTACAGCTTTAGAAGTACAACATGGCTAAGCTTTTAAAAAAACTACTACACACCTATGTTGGTGGTCTTTGAGTAATTTTAGACTTTCAACCTATGGATCGTTTTGTAGGTCAAGTTGTTTAATTGAATTTAAATAGATTTTAGAAGTCAAAAGTTTAGTAGTTCTATTTTTAGAAAGAGGGTTGCTATATGTTGCCTTTTTATTTCACCAAACTTTTCACCTCTTATGTGGCTTCCCATATAGCATGATAAGTTTCAAATATAATGAGTTATATATATATATATATATACATGGCTTTTAAGGCATGAATACACATAGTAAGTGAAATAAAGAGGTGATTTAAATCCGTTGATAAATAGCATTTCTCTTTTAGAAATCCTATTCTTAGTTGGTGAAGTTACCCATGTATAAATAAAATATGTAATGCCTCTAATTTAAAATATGTTTCTTTTGAGATTGTGTGATGCAATCAAACCCTCAAGAGTGATGCCTAAAAGACCTCTAGGAGTGATTTCCAAGACTACCCTTTCCTTATCATTCTTCCTTTGTTGAATTCTCTCCACTTTAAATCCTATTCTCAAAGCCTAAACTTTTTTTCCATCCTAATTCTCTAACCCTAGATCAATTAAAACAATCTGAAAGTACCAAAAAAACAATGTTCACGGATTCAGTTCACATCCCCAGAAGAGCCCTAAAATTCTCCAATTGATTAGCTTAATCAATTATTTAATTAAGCCCTAACTAACCCTACTTCCTTGTATACATATTAAAAAATCCTAAACTTTCTACTGGAAATCAGGTTTCAAACCCTTGCATAAACCAACAAATTCCTTTAAACCCTTCAAAGTGCTGTCCTGCATCAAAAATATTTCATTATTTCTCAAAATTGGCATAGGAAACGGCATACAAACTTCATGAGGAAGAAAATAGAAATAAAAAGGATAACAACAATTAAACTGTTAGATAAAGGAAAATGGCATGCCATAAATGCAAGCGACAAACCAACAAGGAGAGTAAAATATTGATTGTGGCTGTTTAAAGTCCCAAATAGTTTTAAAAAAATAATCCTTGTCCCAACAGTAATTCTCCATCAATCAACATACCATTAAGAATAACGCAACCCAGACTCTGTTGTCGTGGTGCTTGTTGAATAGATACATTTCACCAACTGCAGTTATCACATTTGTAACATTCTTCAAGACTGTGACCATGGCGACATTAATATACTTCAGACTGCAAACAATATGATTATAATTAACTAACTCTGAAAATGAGCCTATTCCCATTCCGACTAATAAAGAAGAAAATAAGTTAGGTAAATAAGCACAACACTTGAATATGTCATACATTAAAGTAGTTCTGCAGCCAACTACTAGAGATGAATCAAACAAGACAACACGGTCCACATAGCATAAACAAATAGATGAATGAATGACAGTGTTAAGTAAGACAGCCCAAATTTTTTCCATCAGCAAGACAGCCCAAATTGATTCAAGCCACATTGAAAATTGGTATGTTAGATCTCCTATGAATGACCCGCACAATGCACAGTCCTAGTCCTCGATTTGTCTTCCACACATACATAGAAATAGACCTACGAAAGATCTTGACAAGACTAACAAAGGAGAGGTTATATCCTGAATGATCATAATCAGACAGTTATTAACTCAATGTGTAAGCAAAAAATGTTAGTTACCCCTTAATCATTTTTGTGTTGGCAATTTCACTCTAAGATTGAGTCTGTTATAAGTTCTTTCTAGGCTTATTTGAGTCTTGAGCATGTTTTGTAGTGAAGCATTATCAAAACAACTTCAGCTTCAAGCCTTGATCATACAAACATACTTATCTTCTGTGAAAAGGCAAAACGCATGCATTGCATTATCATCGTTTAGAGAGTTCTTATCTTTATTAGTCAGAAGGGTTGGGTTTATTTTATTTTCTTGAACATAGTTAGCTTAGTTTTGGACTATAGACTAGATTTGGTATTGGCTTGACTTATAGTACCCATAGACTTGGTAAGTGGGCCTTGTGCATTACATGCAATAAGTGGGTAGACAAACACAAACCTATGTGGCATCGACCAATGCAGGAAGAAGTCTGCAACCACAGTAAAGAAGAAGACAAGCAGCAGCAGTAGCAGCAATGAAAAGATGATGAAGAAATAGAGGAGAAGAAAATGCTGAGAAAATAGACAGAAAGACGTTTGTGGCGGTCAGATTTTCTCTTTCAATCAGTCATCCCTGAAATGAGAAAGGATTTATGGTTAAGAAACTTCAATTAAACCCTAGTTCCTTGAAGTGTGTACTCTTGAAGAAATGAAGACCATTTAGCATGCCTTCTATTCAAGTTACTCTGTGAATGTAAATATTTTTAAGGCCTCATAATCGGAGTTCAACACAAATTCCCTATGGATAAGGTAGTTCCTCCGATGTTTCGAAGCTTGAACAATGGCATAAAACTTCAACTCATATGTTGAATACCTAGATTGTGCGTTGTTTACCTTTTCACTAAAATATGCAACAACCGATCTCAAAGACAGCACCTATCCGTACATAGGAGGTATCACAATCAACCACAAAAACCTAGTCAACATCTGGAAGTACTAAGACTAGAACACTAGTCATTTTGGTCTGCCCAAGTTGAAAGCTTGTCTCAGCTTCTAAGATCAACTGGAAAGAACTCTTCGTAAGCCAACCAGCTATTAGAGTTATCAAGATACTAAAATTCCTAATGAACCATCTATAAAAGGGCGCCAACCCATGAAAGCTTTGGACTTCAACAATTATTGTCTTACAAATAGGCCAGTTTGGATGGCTTCAACTTTTATCGGGTCAATCTTAACAAATCCCCAATGAAAAGAACAGAGAAGGGGAAGGAAACATGGTTGTAGCCTCTACCAAACCCACAGGATTCTCACACCTGAACCTCTTCATCTCAACTAATGTAACCTACAAAAATCACACAAAAATAAATAAATAAACTGCAGTGTACTTTTTTATTGAAACATGTATATTTTGGATATATTGGACAATAACTTGGTGATAAAGAAAGAAGTGAGGGGAGAGACCTTTAAGCCAACTAGGGGCCTTGAACCCACAAGAATAATAGAGGGCAAAAGAAATGGAGGATAGCCTAGAGTCCGTTAAGGGGACATAAATCCACTAGTAGAAGAACAGAGAAGGAATGAAACATGGTCGCAACCCCTAACAAACTCGCAGGGTTCTCACATTAACCTCTTCATCTCCATTTAAACTATTCCTAGCTTGGAGCAGGTAAGAAACTCCTCCATGTAGTCATTCCTGTATTTATTGTTTTGCCTCAAGTTAGGAAATTTCTTGAAAACAAGCTACTTGTCATTCGGTGTCCGCACCAGCACAAGCAGACATAGAACTATTAAAGAAGAATCTATTTAGATACAAAGATTAGTTCAGCAATAATCAATGAACACTTGCGATATTAAATTAGCAGAGGAAGCAATAATTAATGAACACTTCCCACCTAAACATGCTTGTGATTAGCATCCCAACAAATATAGCGTTCACAGGAAACCAGACCTTAATCAATCTCCATGTGAGTGGTTCAGTTGTTATTACACCAAAAAAACTCAACAAGGACACAACAACCACTGAGACAAGATTCTGCACCCACAGAATGGAACAAGAAACTTGTTAAAATTTGAAAATATATTTTTGAAGTCAATACAATTTAATTGCTGAAATAACAGAAATGCAAAATCTATTAGGAACCAAGCAACAAAGATTAAATGTGAAAAATAACCTGATAAAACATCAAGGATATCCCGGCATTAAAATCATAACTGGAAAGGACATACTTGTTAACCAGTATCATGCTACAAGATGAAATGCAATATGCAAGGCCAGATACCAAGGCCCGGTTGTGTATTTTAACTGTCTTGTTACTTCTTACTGTCTTCTCTTTGCCTTTTTCCAATTTAACATCTTCCACATCAATCTCATCATCGTTATGAGTCTTCATTGCAAAAGATGACCTATGTTCAAACAAAATCAAAATCATTGATGATAATTGAAGTTCAAAACTACATTATAGCATCTATTATCAATGAATTAGAGGAAGGAAAAAAATCACTAATTCGTGAGCCTCATATGATAAAATACATCATGAGAGAATTTTACTGCTTCCCGTGGATTAGATACACACAAAAGTGGAAAGCAACTTCAGAAGATTGGCATGTATTCACTTTTGATTAAGGAAAACAACTTTTTATAACATTTTTTTTTAAGTAAAAACCAATTTATGGCTTCATCCAAGTCAGACAATAACAGAATTAAACAAAAGCAATAATGCCTTCTTTCAAGGCAAGTCAGTTGTAGAGGGAGCAAGAGCTATCATGCTTACTAGAAAATGGCATAGTTAAAGTGATAGCAAGAGATCTTAATAAAAGTAAAGAAAACAGTGAGCGTCTCTGGCTCATCTTTGATGCAGTCTACATTAGCCTTTTTTTATTGATGGTTCATGGTGTTCTTTTGTACTCAATTTTTTCATCAATAAAAGGTTTTTTTGCTGATAATTGAAGTAAAAACTTTAGTAGATATAACAGGCACTCTTTCGCCTCCCTTGCCAATCTATCTTTTTGGTGTCATTATATCTGACAACATCCACATGATTGACCAGCTGGGGTTGTGTGAGGAATGAGGGCATATCGGGAGCTATCCTCAGAACTGAGGATTGAACAGAAGATTATTATTATACAGCTTGATGAAAAATCTAGAGGGAGCATAGTGGAGATTATAGAGAGGAATAGAGTGCAAAGTTTCTCGTTGAAGATCGATTTGGGAGGAGTGAGCTGGGCTGTCCAAGCGCTTCAGCAGTTGGGGTCGTGCTACAGAGGAGGATCTTTTTTTAGTAAGTATCATAGCAGCTCTGCTGTTTACTGTTTACAGAAGTATACGAATGATAGGGGTGTCTTTGTTGAGATGTCGAAGTGGGAGGGAGGTGTTAAAAAAGGCAACATCATTCTTCCGGCGGGGTATAATGGTTGTGGGTGGCTAGATATTGCTACAATGCTTCGTAAAGTCATTTGCAATGATGCCACGGCAAATTTCAAAGGCATGGAAGTCGGGGCTAACTTCACAGAAGAAATACAGAGCAAGGACACATGGAGAGGTTTATGGATAGGAAAACAGGGGCGAACAGAGGTAGGAGGTTTGTTGATTTGTTCACTATGAATCGGCTAAGTAGTTTAAAGAGTGATTTGGAGAGGGCTGTCGTATGCACAAGATGTGACTTTTCAAGTAGCTGGGATCAAATTGAAAAGAATTTGAGTAAGTATTTAAAGATGACTATTGCTCTACGGCCTTTCCAACTCAATCGTACTTTGTTCTAGGCTAGTAATAGTGAGGAGGCGAGCCTTCTAGGAGCAAAGGGTCTGAGATTCTTTGATAAAGGCGTAGCAATTAGATTGGAGATGTGGTCCGAGGAAATGCATGTTAAACCAGAGGTCATCGTCTCTTATGGAGGGTGGATTGCAGTGTGTGATCTGCCTTTTACCCTTTGGAATGATCAGGTTTTCCAAAACATAGGAGAGAGATGTGGTGGTTTGTTGGAAGTTGATCGAAGAACCATAGCTCTAGATAATCTTTTTGAGGCTAGGTTGACAGTCAGAGGCTTCAACTCTGGTTTTCTGCCGGCGTTCATGGAGGTGAAGGTGGAAGGACGATCGTCGATGGTGCGTTTGAAATCTTTGTCAAGACAATGCGTCACCAAGTGGAAGCGTGGCCAAAGGTTTTCCGACCAGAATCTTCAGGTGATCCTATCGCTGCTGACATGGAAGCCGATGGGGCAAGGAGGACGCGTGGAAGCTTGGAAAGGGGAAGTCGGAGGGGCGAAGGAGTTGAAGGGTCTGGGGACAACTTTCGTGCTGTAGTGGAGGTGGGGGGAAGACCAAGAGATAGAGGGATTAAAATGTTATTGACTGGGCCACAGAAGGGGCATGATGGGCCGAGTAAAATTTTGAGCTCAATTGATTTACTAAATGTGGGCCAAGAGATTAATTATCAGAAGCCCAATTTTGTTTTTCCAAGGGATGGGCCATTTTCTAAACAATATAAGGAATATAATGCTGGGCCTCAAAGAAGTGATGAGCTCAATCCAAATGAATTGGGCCCAATGAGTTATATGAATGGGGCTCATATCTTGGAGGAGGGAATCCGAGCTGAATTTCAACCACTGGGAGCTGAAGTTCGACCCGATTTGTTCGATGACGAAGGACGACAACTTGGAGAGAGAGAGGTCCAGCGATGGCTATCGTTTGGGACGAAAGGAGGTGTCCAGGGTGAAGGTGATGGGTATTTACAGAGGGACAGTCATAATCGACTAACGCAGGATGAGATTCAACTTGGTTTAGCTGATAGGGTGGACGACTTTGTTGAAGGAGAGCAGAGATTAGCAGCAAAAGTGGATGAATGGATCGATGAAAGGATCGAAGAAGAGAATGATGCTGAATTGTTGAGTCGACATGTGGATGAAGGATGTTTCGAACCTACTGAAGTGTTGCAAGCCCTGAATATTTATGGGTCTGGGTCTGATGAGAGTTCCGAGTATGATTCTGGATCAGGCCGTGAAGAAGAAGATCAAGAAGAGTCTGACATTGAGCTTATTAATCTTTTTACTGAGAAGGACACTGTTGAGGAGGATGAAACTGAGAAGGGTATTGTCAAGGAGGACGAAACTGTGGAGGTCTCTGAAACAATGGATCATGTTAATGACTCTGTTAATCATGGCTCTACAGAACTGTCATCACAGAGGGGTCACATTGTTGTTCCTGATTCTTTTTCTCCTGGGGATGGGATAGGGGTTTCTCGGTGTCTTGGTCTCAAGTGTTCTATCAGGGGAAGGGTTGATAAAGGAGTCACTCCAGATATCTCGGGAGCCATGAGGGATGTTCCTACCATTAACCCTGTGTCCTATAATGCAAATATAACTGTAGGCCAAGTAAATGATGTTCAAAAGGGAGCTTCTGTAATGCGTTTGCACAGCAAAGGCTGTGTTTTTAGTAGTTTGAGGGATAGTGAGGCAGAGACAAAGCGCTAGTTGTTGGAGTTAAGCAAGTATACGTCATGTCCAATTGAGGAAAATGAAGTAGCCCATTTCAAGCATTTGCTTCAAGTTATGGGGTTGTCCCTAGCAAGTTTAAATGGGAAGGGTGATGTTAGTGGAGTGGATAATAGTGTCACTAGGGGGGAGAGTACTAGACGAGGAGGGGTTTCGGTTAGAAAGGGGACCAGGGATTCAAGGAATTTGGTGAGCACAATTAATTACGACAGAAGGCATATGGAGGTTAGGGGTGACAATGATTATTAATGAAGATTGTTAGTTGGAATGTGAGGGGTTTGGGATCCCAGAAGAAGAGGGGGATCATTAGGGGTTTTTTGTGGAAGCATCAACCTGACATAGTCATTTTTCAAGAAACTAAAGTAGAGATTTGTGATAGGACTTTTATTAAAAGTATTTAAGGAGCTAGGCATAAAAGGTGGGCTTTTGTATCATCAGTGGGAAGGTTATGAGGTATTTTAAGTATCTGGGATGAGAGGGTTGTGTCAGAGTGTGAATCAATAATTGGTGAGTTTTCACTATCAATTAGGTTTAGGAATCTAGATCTCAATGAGTGGTGGTTGTCGAGGCTATATGGTCCAAATTGCCCTTCTAGGAGAAAGGATTGGTGAGATGAGTTATATGATTTATTTGGGTTATGTTCTCCTAATTAGTGTTTAGGAGGGGATTTTAATGTGGTTAGGAAGGTTTCAGAAAAGCTTAATGGGAACAGAATCAATAGAAGTATGAGAGATTTTTATAGTTATATTAGAGGGTGCGAGTTGGTTGACCCTCCTCTATTTAATGCTAGATTCACATGGTCTAATTTAAGGAAAAGGCGGGCATGTTGTCGACTGGACAGATTTTTACTTTCTTTGGGGTGGGAGGGGGTTTTCCCCAATGTCAGGCAGGAGGCATTACCAAGACTGGTATCTGATCACTGTCTAGTGATGTTTGAGAGTTGTCCTTTTAGGTGGGTCCGACTCCATTTAGATTTGAGAATATGTAGTCCGAACATCATTCATTTAAAGAGGCTTTTGAGGAGTGGTGGAATACTGCTACATGTCAGGGGTGGGAGGGTTATAGATTCATGAGAAAGTTGAAGGTGATTAAAGAGAATGTGAAACAGTGGAATAGGGACGTTTTCGGGAACTTGGAATCAACTAAATGTCAGGTTTTGCAAAGGATTGAGGAGATAGATACTTTGGAGATGCAAGGGAGTGAGATTGAGGCATTGAGGGGGGAGAGGAGGGAGTTAGGTTTGAAATTGGAAGACTTGACTCTTAGGGAGCAGATTTTTTGGGCACAAAAAGCAAAGGTGAAATGACTAAAGTAAGGGGATGTTAGTTCAAAAATTTTTCATAGAATTGCGGATGGGAAAAGGAAGAAGAAGTTCATTAAGCGATTGAAAATAAGGCCAGGTGTAGTGGTGGATAGAGAGGAGCAAATAGTTCAGGGGATTTTTTATTTTTATTCTAATTTGTTTTCGGCGGAGGATATTGTTAGGCCTACGATAGACGGACTTGAGTGGCAGCCTATTGATCAGGAAACTAAGACGTGGTTACAGCGACCTTTTGAGGAAAACAAGATTAGGGAAGCAGTTTTTTAGTGTGAAAGGTACGAGGCTCCAGGTCCAGACGGGTTTTCCATGGCTGTTTTTCAAGATTGCTAGGAGGTGGTGAGGGGGGGATTTGGTAAGAGTTTTCATGGAGTTTTACGAGACGGGTAATTAATTTATGTACAAATGCCACTTTTATCTGTTTGATTCCTAAGAGGGATGGAGCCATTAGAATGGAAGAATTTAGACCATTAGTTTGATTACATCACTCTTCAAGATTTTGGATAAGGTATTGTCAAAAAGATTAAGATGTTCTTCAGGGGATACAATTTCTCAGACATAGGGGGCTTTTGTGCAAGGTAGAAAGATTCTAGATGTGG